GCGCCCGATGGTCGCTTCCTTTCCCCCGACTAGGAGGGCCTCCACATCCGTTTCGCCACATCGCCGGCCACGAGGATTGAATATCCGGGGGCAGAAGAAAAACCGAACTCCCCGTCCGTCCGGTGGACGACGGAACGACACCGCAGATGACGATTAAGGAACCTCGGAGACCCGTCCACCGGCGAGATACAGTTATCCTCGTTAAACGCGGCGCCTCTCGCCTCCTTAGCGGCGACCTTCCGCTGGGCCGCGGCCATTTTCATTTCCCGTCCGTTAGAGCGGCCGGGGCGGCGGAAAGAGAGAGAGAGAGAGAGGTCCGCCAGCGAATCGAGGTCGGCCGCGACGTCGAAACTAGACCGTTCGCTCGGCCATTTTTCCTTCTCCCTTTTGCCTTTTTCCCTTCCATTTGGCGCGACCAACCGCTCTTTGCGTTTTCGATTTGCGTCCCGTCCGCGGAACCGTCCGAATTCGAGGGTGCGACTCGCGAGCGGGGATCTCTTTCAATTTCTTCCCCACCCTCGAAGAGGCGAGGCCTCAACGAGAGTCCCGAGTCGAGTTATCTGTCGGTCCGAGCGGTGATAACCCTGGAGAACGATACCTCCCCCCCTCCACGGAACGAATCGATGGGACGTTTCCGCGAAGGAGAATATTGACGATGGCGCGGACTCGCGCCTGATATTCAGAGTTACCCGGCACAACCCGTGCGTTTTTGCGGGAGGTTCCTGTAACGTATAAATATCGCCTGGTAGGCGCATAAATCCTGCGTCCGCGGCCTCGTCAACGGGGGGTCCGTGGTCCCTCCCCTACCCCCCTCGCCGATACGCGCGCGGCGAGTTAACCCGCCGTCCCACTGGGCGCGTCGACGCGTCGAGGGCGAAGGGCCGATACTAATATTTTTAATATACACCACGCGTATTTTAACATATATATACACGCGCTAACACATATATATATATATATATACATGCTCGACCGTGGCCTAATCTGTGAACGGCGATTATTTCGACTGTGTGAACCTACAGTCCAGTTTGAGGAACAAACAAAATTAACAGACTTATTAGAATGTTTCCGTGATGTGGACGTATGTGGCATTTTCTTTCTTTACAAACACCGGAGCTGTTCAAAAATTCCGAAATCGTGGAAATTTGGATTTTTCGACTCTAATGGGTTCTCCCACAACCTCGAAAACGTTAAAACGACCGTTTTCAAGATTTTTTCTCCCATGGAAAATTCAGAGCCTCCTATAACCTCAATAACGCTAAAATGGTCGTTTTCGGAACTTGTTTATTTTTTTTAACAGCTCTGGTTTTTCTAAAAAAAAAAAATAAAATAAAAACGGCACAAACAAAACTCAGCATGGCACGGACGTCCACATCACCGCAACATCCCAACGAGCCTGTTAATTTTGTTTGTGCCTCAAACTGGATTCGAGGCTCACACGGCCGATAATTTCGGTAATCGCGTATTGTTTCCAGTTCCTTGCTACGCAGTTGCCGCATCGTCGGCGATAACGATTGCGGTGCCGCCTGTAGGCGACAGCGATACGTTGGAAGTAAATAATTCAAAGCGCCCACCGGCGCCGACAGCGACGAAAGGGTTAAACACCCCGCGCGTCATTTCCGTCGGGGTTGCGATTCGTTTTGAAATTTGGACGCGTCGACGCGCCGCGCTCGGTGCGACGTCGGGGTGCCGCTCCGACTCGTCCCAATCGGCCGCGGTGATAACCTCCGAACGCACCTCGCCCCCTTATCGGCCTACTGGCGGCGATCGCGAGAATCCGCGGATCGCTTCCCGCAAGGTGAGCCGATCGAAGGTCGACTCGCCGAGACTCTTTTCCTTCATTTTCCGTCCGCTCCTTGCTGACGTCAAAGTCACGTCGAATTCCGTACCCGGAACTGCGCGACGAGAACAGAGAGACCGGCTGACCGACGCCTCCCGAGGCGTCTCAAATTCTCGCGCAAAGTCGTTTGCGAAAATCAAGGCTTTACCTGAAATCTAAACTATATCGATATACCCCAACGACGAGCGTGGAATTTACAATGATTTTTTTTTAAGCGCGTCTAATCGGCGGCGTCGAATTTTAATTCGACTCCTTTAGGAGCGTCGAAAATTCCGGGAGGCGTCGAATCGATTCCACCCCTCGCTCGCGGTATATCAGCGGAGGAGGTCGCAGGGAAAGTCAAGTCTCCGAAAATCAAGTCTTTACCGGAAATCTAAACTATATCGATATACCCCAACGACGATCACAATTTACAAGCGAGCGGGGAATTTACAATGATTTCTTTTAAGCGCGTCTAATCGACGGAGTCGAATTAAAGGAGCGTCGAAATTTCCGGGAGGCGTCGAATCGATTCCACCCCCCGCGCTCGCGATAGTCAGCGGAGGAGGTCGCAGAGAAAGTCGGCGATTACGACGAGGGGGTCGGTCCGAAAGGGGCGATCCCGGACAGGTGGGACCCCGCGGGCTCTTTCCGCGCGTTAATTACTCCGCGGCGTGGCTCCTTGTCGCGCGCGCCCCGCGACTCCGTTATCACGGGGTACGTACACTTTTCGCAAACTGAATACGGGAGCCGCGGCCCGGGCTAAATAAACCCCGGACGGTGGGTGCTCAGCATTTGTTTCCGACTAACGGTCGTAAAGGAACGAGTTCCGCTCCCTTCCCCCTCCCTGCCACCCCCTCCGCGGTTCTTATTAACGCGAGAAACGCGTTAATGGCCGCGCCCGCGGACGGCCTCCAAGGGACGGACCCGTCGAACCGAACGCCGTCAAAGCGCCCGGAAGCGACACTCGCGGTGTTCAGCGACTCGGGACGGGATTTCCGCGCGAGATTCCCCGGTACTCGATTTCCGGGCCTCGCGACCGGGAAACGACTCGCTCGGCGTCGGGTCGCCTCGGCGTTCCGCTCGGCGTGTGCAACGGGATCCCAGTAACTCCCCCCGCCGCGACGCCGAAACGGCTTAACCGAGTCCGAGCCCAAAGTGCGTAACCGTAACCTCGTGCACCGTCCGACGCCCGGCACGCGGGGGTTCCGCCGCGTCGGCACCGCGCTAAGCCCCCGGAAGCGAACCCGGCGCGACCCTGATCGGGTACTTGGGTATCGATATAGTTCGATTCGATGGAAAATGTAGAAAATGCACGTGGCATAAGTGTAAACGTGGAAAATGCAAAAAAATGTATGTGGTATAAGTGTAAACGTGGAAAATGTAGAAAATGTATGCGGTATAATGTACCCGGTCAGATTTCCCAAGAAGGGTCCGGGGGACCGACTTCGTCCCCTACCTCTTTAAAGGGACCTCAAAAATCAGGACGACTCGTCGAAACGGCCCACCGAGGGCATCTCAAAACGCATTTCGTACATCCCACGCATCAGGCCTCGGCCGAGGTCGTCGGCGACGTCTCGCGGCGTCGGTCCCGGAGGTGTCCTCGCGGCTCGAACGCAGGGCGCATCGATAAGCCGGTGCCGGGGCCGCGCGCGCACCCGCCGCGGCCGCTCGCGGGCACGTGCACCCGCCCGGGCGTTCCGGAGCGCGACCGTCGAGTCGGCCAGGTGGCGGCGGACAGGTGAGCGCCGCGGCGCCCGGCCTCGGCCGGCCCGACGACGCCCGCCGCTCTCTCCGAAGGGGCCTTTAAAGCGACTCGGGAGGATCGGCGTTCCCGCTCCGATTCCGGGGGCCCGTTCATCAAAAACGCCGACGTCGAGACGGCGTACCGCGTCCTCGGATGCCCCGGAGATAAACCCCGGAGATACCGACTTTGTAGATGCGTCCCGTTCCGTCGTGCCTTTTTCAATATTTTTCTTCCTTTTTCGCCCCGTCGTTTCATCCCGCCCCTCTCGTCGGTCTCTTAATTCTTGAATTACGCAAATGGACTCCTCGACGATCCGAGTCTCCCCCCCTTCCTACGTCCTTCCTCTCTTCTCTACAGCTCCTCGAGGGACGCGAGCTCGGCGTCGCGACGCGCCCCCTCGGCGACAACGTGGTCCTATTTACGCGATCGGAACTTGGCCGCTGATAGTTCCGTGACGAAGTCGCCCGGGAAAAACATTCAACATGGGAAGGAGAGAGGGGGCCGAGTCGCGATTACGGCTACCGTATAACGACTATAGTTCCTCCGCAACGGTACAAGCCGAGAGAGCCCGACCCTAGCCCGTTATCTCTCTCCTCGGACACGATATAACACAGGCGCGTCCCGGCGCGTTAACGCGCGCCGCCCATTCGGCGTCCCCCGAGCTTTTGCCCCGAGATCCTCGAAAACGATCGGGGGGGAGGGGGGCCCCGTTAATCCGCGCGGCCGAGACGCCGCGGGCGCCCCGGCTTGATCGATATTAACTTGGTGATCCAATTGAAATTCGCTCGCCCGCTCGCGGGAGGCGCATATCCGCCGGTTGCGTAATCGCCTGACGTATACGCGGCGTACGTCCGCCAGATCTCGAAGAAGCTCGAGACAGAGATAGAGAGAGAGAGAGAGAGCCCCGATTAAAGGACCCCTTTCGTTAGAATTCGACCCGCGATAAAGTCCCCGGTACGTCGTCACAGAAGGATCTACGTTTCCACGTAATCCCGAGATGACGGAAAAGCTCAAGAGCGAGAGAAAGAGAGACAGAGTTCCCATCAGAGTACCTTTCTCCCCGGAATCGGTCCCGCGATAAAGTTTCCGATACGTCGTCCTCCAAGGATCGACGTCCCGGGGTACGTCCGTGACCGAGATATCTCGAAAGAGCTTGGGAAATCAAGAGAGAGAGAGAGAGAGAGGTAGGGAGTTGCGATCGGAGGTCCTTTTCTCCTTGAAATTCGCCCCGCGATAAAGTATCCGATACGTCGTCGTCGAAGGATCGACGTCCCGGGGCCCATCCGAGATCGTAAAGAGTCTTCCGTTCCATCGGAGGGCCGTCCCGCGATAAAGGTTCGGAGGCGTCGTTATCGAGGGATCGAAATTCCGGGGCCCGAGGGAAGCCCACCGGGGCGGGTAAAAAAAAAAGACCGCCGAAGGTCGTGCACTCACCCTCGAGCAGGTGCCAGTCCTCGTCGAGGGAAGCCAGGGCCTGGGCCTGGTTGGCCTGCTGTTCGAAGTCGAGCATCCTGGCGGCGGGGTGGCGGGCGTCCCGCTCCCTCCGACCACGGGGGGATGGGTCTCGCCTCGGCGCGAGTGCGACCCGACTGCGCTAAGATAAACAATAAATAGACCGTTTAGAGCCGAGCCGGCCGATCGGGGCTCGCTCTCGAGGTCTGCAGCTCCTCGGCGTCGACGGGTCTCCCCTCGAGGAGGGTCACTTCCGGCACGGCGGGTCCGACTTCCGGATCCGGTCGCGGGTCCGTGCTCTGGCCTCGGGACGCGCCGCGGGTCGGTAAGCAAGAGCCCTGTGCTCTCGTCGCGCTCTCGGCGGAACTCGCCGCGGCTCGCAGGTGCACTCGCGGCGGGACTCGAACCGCGACTGATTTCTCCTATCACTCCGCGCTCAGCTGCCGGTGCTGCCACCCACTAGCGCCGCGCTCCCCCCACCCTCGGCCGCGCCGCGCCGCGGAGTGGGGGAAAGGTACTCCCCTCTCGCTCCCACTCGCGGCAACGCTGCATCCCGCCCTCTCTCTCTCGCGCCGGCCGTTAACGTAGCGCGAGAGAACTTTGCGCACCCGTCGATCCCCCTCCCGATCCCCCTCCTCCCTCGCCGCGTCTCGCACCGCCGGCTATTCTTTCCACGTCCTAGCGGGCTCTCTCGCTCGCTCGCGCCGCCGTCTCCGGCGCTTTGCCGACTCGCCGCCGCCGCGAGGAGAGCCGAGCTCTCTGACCAGGAATTTCCGGCGGCCGATGCGCGCGCGACCGACTTTGAGCGCTAGCGGTGCGCTAGGCGGTTTTCGAGCCTCGTATCCGAGACCAAGGGCCCATTGATATTCTATCCAGGATTACCGGACACCCTAGCGATCCAGCCGAATCCAAAAGATTATCACGTTAATGATAAAGATCGGGGAAAGTTGGCCCACCTGGTCGCATAAATCGCCCCTTGTATTTATCATCTGACTTTCAAGACGTTCAGTCCTGGACACGATTTCATTAGGGGCCTATTTCACTTGGAAATCAGGGAAAACGATTCCCTTCTTTAAGCTCCGATTGCCTTTGATATCACGTGACTAAGAACAATGCGATTCGGTAACAAGGGAGGTTCGGCCTTAAAATCCTGACCGGTGATTTCCAATGATCCCAGGCGTTAACATCGGCGACCTCCTGGGCGGGAATACTCCCTCGGATATCTCGTGAATTCCGATTTAATTTCATCGTCCACCCCCACTTTAATTTTTCAGCGGAAGGAACTGCCGGACGGCACTCCGGCCGCGTTAAACGTGCCCCGCCGAGAGGAGGGGGAGGGGGACGGGGGGGGGTACGAGAGTTACTCGGCGTTCGCTCGAAACTTCGACCTATTGGCATGTTGCAACTGAATTATCCATTAGCTCGATGGAGGAAACATCAAAGCCGGGCCCGGCGCGCATCGAAGGGACGTCGGCCTCGCCGCGGTCTACGCCGACGTGCGCCTCGGGAAGAGTATGAAACTCGCGGAACCGTTCGACTGTGTCTAAAGGAAAGAAGGGGCAGCCAGAGGGAGCGAGGAAGAGAGAGAAAGAGAGAGAAGGCTTTCCTAACGTCTCGCGTCCGTTGTCTCATTACGTATCTCTCTTTCTCTCTCTCGCCCCGTTTCTCTGGCGACTCCCGAGTACCCGCGAACGTGACTCGATAAGGGACTATCTCTTATCGGGCGTCTTCCCGGGCGGCAATTTTTGCGACGGCCGCGCTCGAGATGCGGAATCATCCCGTCCTCTCTCGAGCCTAATGGCGCGATCGCCACGGGGTCGAACTTTCCGCGACGACTCGTAAAACCGAGTGCGTGTCGCCTCGCCGTTAACCCGGGGAATTATCTCTCATCGCGGAAAAGTCGGGCCGTAACAGGGGACGACGCGCCGTCGTTCGATACCCGGATACTTCGAGTTCCACTTTCGGGCCGCGGTGGAACCGCGACGGTGGTTCGCCGCCCGGTTGATGCGATCCCTCCGATTCGCGAGGAATCGAGGACAAAGGGGAGGGAATGATCGGCGCCGCGACGGTGGCTCGAGTAGACCCTAGTCTGGAGCGTCGATTCGTCGAAACGATCTCCGAAGCCGCCTCGTAGAAAGCGTTCCTCCGGAGTGGGTACCGCGTGCGAGATCTTTTCTCAATATCGGCCGAGAGAGGGCTCTCGGTCTCGGCTCGGCTCGGCTCGGCCCTGCTCGCCTTCGGCTCCCCGCTCGACCGCTCCTATCGGCGTCCCGCTCCAACCTATTATATAGGCCCGTGAACTTCCCCGGGGTCCCGGGGAGTTTCCAGGAATCCGAGCTCGGAGACAGCGACTCGTCCCGCAGGTAGTCCGGAGTGCGAGTCGGACCAGAGTCCCCCAATTTCGGCCGTCTGGCGCTTTAAATCGTCCCCGGCCGAGGGAGCGAGGGAGACTGCCCTATAGGGGCTCGCGGGCGTGCGAGAGAGAGGCACCGACGCGCCGTGAGGAGGGCCGGCCGCGTTTATTATGCACAAGGAAGTACGCGCAACGAACGGGTTCCGTGACGCGAGGATGACGTTTTAGGGTCTCGGGCAGGATGCGGCTCGAGACCGGCGAGACGCGGTAGGTAAACGGCGCTGGAGGCGACGCGAAAGAGAGCGGAGCTCGGGGAGGAGGGAAGAGAGTCGGCGATCTAGGAGCGTCTCTCGGCCCGCGCCGCGTCGCGTCGATCGGCGAGGGGGCTGCCGATAACCAGGACGCATAACCTCTGGTGCACCGGGCCCGCTGCGTCATCTGGTCCGCAGTTGGATTCTTCGAGCGCGAGCCTTCGACGACCCCCGGCCTCGGCCACTCCGAAACCTTAGGCGTTTAAGGAGGGGACGGAGGGAAAAAGAACTCCGAGCGGATCGGCGCGCGTGCCGGCGCGCGCTAGATAAAAAGGGGCCCCGATCGGACTCGCCGGCGCGCGTAACGGCGCCGGGGACCCGGGGAAGAGAGGGGGATTTCGGGGGTTACCGGGTGTTACCTCGTTACCGGGCAGCCTCGACGTAGCGCAGTCGATAACGTATTCGAGGCATGCCCGAGTCGCGCGCCGCGTCTCCGCCAGGGCGGCCGACGCCTCGGCCGCTCGGCCGGATTTCCGATAATCCGAAAGAGTCGAAATTTCGAGCCGCGCCGTCGCGCGTCGCGTGCTCCTACGGCCCTGACGGCTCGCGCGCGTCATTTGTCCTCGCCCCCCCCTCCCGGCCCGAGGAAGAAACGTTTATCCCTGTCCCACCGGCGCGGCCGCCTCTCTCTTTCGGCCGAGCGTTTCGAGTCTCTCCTCCTCTCCGTCGGTCCCGCAGTCAACCCTGTTCTCCGTCCTCTATTGGCGTCTCGCTCGCGCCCGCATGCCGCGGCCTCGGGGCCTCTCTCTCGCTCCGTCCCACTCGCGCCGGCATGGCGCAGCCTCGTCCCCTCTCTCTCGCTCGCCCTGCGTTCCGCCTCGCTCGGTCTCTCGCTCGCCCGCATGGCGCGCGCACCCTCGTGTCTCCGTCTTCGCCCGGCACTTCGCTCGTCGGTCGTCCGTCCCCCTTGCTCGCCCGGTGCCCGCATAGGAGCGTCTCTCTCTAGCGCCCCTTCCCGCCGCTTCGCTCTCGCGCGCGACCCGTGCGCTCCTCCCCCCACGGCTCACCCCCCCTCGGCTGTCCGCGCTCGCTCGCGCCGCCTGCCCAGATGTTCGCTCTCCCTCGTTCTCTCCTTCGCCTCGTCCTGGTCTTCTCGCTCTCCCTCTCTCTCTCTCTTGCCGACGAGAAGACTCGACGCTGCGAAGGCACGGACCGCTCTCCGCGCAATCGCTGCCCAAATTATTTCACTATCGCCGCTCGGCGGAGCCGACGCTCTCGGCGGTTCGAACAAATAAATTACCGGCTCGCGTTCACTCTTTCGAGGAACATCGACTGTGGCACTGCTCGAAAATGTATTACTATCGACCCACGTGAGCCCACTCTATCACCCACCGGCTGTACCGCGCGAAAACGTATCGGAGCCCTCGCGCGCGCACACGAGCCACGGCGCCGCGTTGGATCGAATTTCCTTGAAGCGGGATAAGCGACGCTTTTCGACGCGCAAACTCGGCCTTTGCGTTTCGAGCGGCGACTTATTCGTCGAGCACCGAGCCGCGTGACGTCACGGCATCGGTATAAAGGCGCATTCCAAGCCGGCACGCGTAACGACGTTAAGTCCGCCTGTGCTAACCGCGCGGACGCTCCGCTCCGGGCCCGAGAGAGTCCGGAGAGCCGACGTCGTCCGCGAAGGTTAGGTCGCATTTTCTCCCAGGGGGAGGAATCGCGCGTAAAATCCGCATCGTCGACGACGGTCAGACAAGATCCGCCGCTCGACCGCGACGCTGATAACGCTCCGGAGAGGGAACCGGGAACGCACGCGTGCCGCTACGTCGGCGAGCGATGATTCGGCGTTTCCGGCAGAAAGCGGCGCGTCATTGGCCGGCCCCGGCAGAAGCGGCCGGGATTATCCGCGCGTACTCGGCCGCGCCGATAAGGCCCGCGGACGATAATTCGACACGGCGATCGCCGCCATTAAGGTGGCGACCGCCATGTCGGCGTTAATGCGGTCTCCGCGATATTTACACAGCCGATTCTCCGCCACGTCGGGCTGTCGGGGGGAACCGTCAAGTGCGCAACACCTTGCGGTTACCGTTACGTTCCGCGATCCGCCACCGCGACCACCTCGACGTACGCTCCGACGGCCGTGCGAAACGCACCGCCCCGTTACTCGTCCGCCGACCGGCCAACCAGGCTAGCCCATCGGCTCGCCTTCCAAAATGTCACCGGGAATTATCATCGCGGATAACCGCGATAAGGCCGCTCTAACTGCGACCGTTTCAACGACCGACGCTACGCCTGGCGGACATGTTTATATCGGCGATACTCTCGCACTTTGCCACATTTCTCGGGAGATTACGGGCGTCGATTGCGCAAGTCGCGCGACCTTTCCGCACGGTGTAAGGGTAGTCCCTCTCCTTTCCGCAGGCGAAGAGGGTCGCTCTCTTTGCGTCCTTCCCTCGACGTCGAGGCTCAAAAATGGCACTTTCTCGCTCCCAACAAAGTGGCTTTCTCTCTCTCTCTATCTTCCTTATCACTGCAACTCCTTACGTATACATCCGCTGTTGTTGGAAAGACGTTTGATGGTTTGATTAAGAGATGTCCTTTCGGAGAATGAGAGATATCCGATGGCCCTTGAGGTCCGGAGCCAAGCATTCGAGGGTGGATTAGTTGGCGTGACGGGGTCTCCGAGGGCCAGCGTTTATCAGAATTATATACAGAAGGGGTTGGGCCGTCTCCCTCTTTGTCGTCGAGATGGATTCACCGGGATGCCGATCGATCGTCTCTAAACCGATTAAACCTACTAACCGAGACCCGGTCTGGAGTTCGGCGAGCCGTTGCGACGTTGATACGCCATATCAATGTCGCTGGTCGTTCCGATCCCTCGGTGCGATTTCGCGTCCAGCTGCCGAAGTGTGGGCGATTTTGCATTTATTCCCCTCCAGGGAGATCGAAGCTGCCGACGGTGGTAAGAAGTCGGTTATTAACCACCCCGAAGACCGTTCTCTCCTCCGACTCCTGGAAACAAAGGGAAACCTGGATGTTGGTAAACTCACGGTATAAAAAGCCACCTTCGAGACCTCTTAAAACCGCTCGCAGTAGTCTGGCGAAGGTAATGAAATATAATAACTGCTATATACCGGCATTCTATGATTAATGTCAATCGTCCGGTTTTTTACCTCCGCCTCCCAGCGTGCAGTCTCATTACACGCCTGGAATCGACGCCAATGTAACGAGACTCTCTACCGGTCGGGACAGCAATTGTTATCTAGCTAACGAACTTTCATGGCATGGGTAACGATCCTTTCTCCTCGAATCAGCGGCCGGAAGGATCGCGGCCGTGCCCCGCGGTTTCTTTTCGGAGGACTCCTTTCTTTTTCTTCTTTCCTCCATTTATTTTTCCTTTTTTTCGTTTCTCTTTCCCGCTCCAAGGGCCCAACAGGGACACGCTCGGTCTCGCCGTTAGGCGTCGACCACTGGAGTGTTTCGGCCGCGTTAAAACGGTGCTCGGAGTGGCGTTCCTTGGAGCCAATGGCCGGACGATCGGCGGGATGAAACGTCGAAAGTGGACCCAGGGCTGGATGGGATCGATCGAAGGTATCCCCGAGATAATCTCGGCCGGGAGGTGGCGATCTCTCCGGTTCGCACTCGCCGGCGATAACGCTCCCGCGAACAGGTTTTCGCTACCCGCTCGCGGGTTTTTTCTTTTCGTCCAGTGACGAGGTACACCTATCGGCTTACCTTCCCCTTTCTCTTTCTCCCGTGGACTGTCCGCGACCTACGACAAATCTCGCCCGAGCAGGAGAAGAGCCGCGACTTCCAGCACGGTGCAGGGGTGCCCTCCACCTGCGGTAGCCCTGGGCTTCTCGGATTTTCCTTGCACCCTGCCGCCTGGTAACAGGAAAAGCACGAGTGTTAAGGGGTATATTTACCAGGGATGGATTAATACCGAGAGAATAAATAAAGATGACGTATAAACGTCCCGCAAGCCTCACCCCATTTCCCGGCGCCTGTGCTCCTCGGCATGGGGAAATATCGGGGAAAGTGGTGCCTCTAACATTCACGGTCGTTGTTTATTATTCCTCGGTAATTAATCCCGTGCCGAAGCGCGCCTATCGGCTCGCTCCCCTCTTTACCATTCCCTCGTTAACCGGCCGCGACCTACGACAAGTCTCTCGCCCCCGGTCGACGCGCGCAACGGCGGGCAACTGCGGAGCAACCGCGGGGCAACGCGCGGTAACGGCGAGCAACGGCGAGCAACGCGCTCGATACGCCATAACAGGGTGCCTTGCGGAATTTTAAATCGCGTGGGCGGCGCCACGCAGTGGGTGCGGTTGCCATGGCGACCGTTTCCCGCGTGACGTCACAGTCGTACCCGACCCACGTGGTGACGCCATGACATTTCGCCCCCGTCATCGATTCCCCAAAGGCGGAGGGTCGATATTACCGACTGCCGATTGACCGTGCCCCACCACCTCTCCGCAACGCCGTGCTACGTCAAAACTATGCCGTTAATTGCATCTAACCGCCGATAAAAAAAATCGACACTTCACCGTCGTTGTACATAACAGATAATCGCGCAACGCTTGGCAGTGTACGTTGTTCGATATCGCGCGATATCGATTTATCGTGGAGTTCGAAATGGCTTTGCCGATTTTTCGACCTCGTCATCTCTAGATCGAGTAGGCGATCGAGGTTGGTTTACGGAGGTTACGAGTCGTTCTTGGGGTAATGGCTTGACCAGTGGCTCGGTTTAAGCAGGGTGAGTCCATCCAGCTCATTCCGCTTCTCTCGTTAATCTAGCCCGACCTAGAACAAGCCTCGCGCCGGCCCCGATCGACGCGGAGCCTCGCGCTCGATATGCCAGCCGCGCCACGGAATTTTAAATCACGTAGGCGTCGCTACGCCGTGGATGCGGTTGCCATGGCGACCGTTTCCCGCGTGACGTCACGGCCGGTGACGACCACGTGGTGACGCCATCGCGGCGCTCCGCGCGCCCCTCTGGGGATCGATATTCCGATTTCCGATCGGCCTCGCTTACCTTTCCGCGGAAATAATCTTGCGACATTGTTTCCCGCTATAACGCCCCCTAGCTCAGCGTCCTCGAGCGCGCCCGATCTTCCGATTAATCAGGAAATTACACGTTTTTACTGCTCTGCGCTTTTCAGGTTAGAGAAGCTACGCACGCCGAACGGGGCTTCTGGGATGAGGCTCGTACTTCGTCGAGGTTGCCGTTAAACGCCCTCTCACTTACCGCGCAGCAGTCTTTTCTAAGGATATTTAAAGATTGCGCTTCGAGCGAATTCCACGTCCAAAGTTAGCCGTTACTTCATCCGCCTGGAGTCGGTATCTTTATCCGATCCCCTGCTCCCTAGTTGACACGCCTAAAGTCGATGCAGGCTCCAGGGTTTATTTTGGAATCTGTGGAATGGTAAGGGGCTCGTATTAAAAATGATAGTTCAACTGGAATATCGGTAGCCAAGATTCCCAAATATCTTTCCGCGGCAGTCTTCGACGGGTCTGATTTTCCGACTCGACGCCGGGCAACGAAAGTTCCTCCGGCGTGCTCCTAAAGCGGCCCATTTTTTTTTTTATCGCGCCGTCTACGTGTATCACTGGTCGCTTTATGAAAGTTGCAGCCGTGAGAGTGACTGCTCGGCGCAAGGTGATCCGTAGGAAACGCGACTTTCGAAACGCTCCCGTTCCTAAAGTTACGTTTCTCGGGAAGAATGGGCCGAGTATTATCTTAATTACCTGCGGGAAAAAGGGAATCAGGAAGGCCCCTTTTCCTTCCTCGGCCAGGGTTTCTGGTTCCGGCGGATTCCCTCGACCTTTAACAAAATGCCGCGACGTATGGCCGCTCTTAGCACTCCAGTAAACAACTTAACAAAGCGACGATAATCGGTTTACCTTTCAGGCGCATTTTAATGCGAGACCCGTCCGAATGGTCCTCTCGACCCGGACAACTGCGTACAGCGATTCTCCGTCGACTTTGGCGTTTCTGTTTAACGCCGCGGCCAGAGGTCGAGCGTGGACACGGATCTGCTCGTCTAGATACTCTACAATCACGTGGGAGTGTTTCTTCATTTCCAGGGACTTAACTGAGCCCCGCGCGTCCCTGCTTACCTCGGCCAGGAGCGCGCACGAGCTCGTTCAGTGAGATCGACATCAATCGCTTTGTATACTTTCAGGCATCGGCCGAGTGTCGTCTCATCTGGAGTCTCCTCACGCCTCTACGAGCCGCGTCATGGCGCAGCCTCGGAAGGTTATCGTTTCGAATGTTCCTACGACCGAAAAGTCGAGTGATTTCGTCGACTCGTTGTTTTTGTTGTTCCTACTTCCACCTTGCTCTCTCGAGGTTACGCGTTGCGACGATGTTTTTCTTTGTATCGGAGCTGCGCGATCGCGCGAGCTTCGCTAAACACTCGCCGGGCGGCGCTACGTGCCGCGGAGGAATCGCAATGGCGCAGCGCCGTCAGCTGATGGAGCAGCCTTCCCGTGGTCAGTTATAGCTCTGGTTATAGTCATTTACTCGTGACGTTGCATCTTTCGCCCCACTCCGACTGCCGAGCTTTTTTTCCATCTCTCTCGTGCCCATGGATATAGCATGCACGAGGACGTTCTTATGAGTGAAATATTCGTGAGTCTCTCCTTGGTTCCCTCACCTCCCACCTCAACGGGGCTTCAAGAAAGAAGTTCACCTAACCTCAACTAGAGCGCGCGCCACACCGTTGCTCGCGCCGGTCGCCTCGTAACGTAAATAGTTGTATAACCTCTCGCGTTCCTTTCCGAGAGAGAAAGTGTGGAGTTTCGGTGGCCCAAGATTTTCGAAATTCGAGGTTAATATGCTCGCCCTAAAGATCGCGCGGCGCGTGCTCAGCGTCAGGAATTTTGCCACGTCACCGGAGGAAATTGGAAAACTTGTGAAGGTGAGTTGAACGCGTGCCGGTAAGGCCTGTTTTTGGGATAGCTAGTTTTTCTTGAGTGAGGTTTATGTACTGTGTACGGTGATGTGAGGAATTGATTGTTTTGTAGAAAAGCAAGGTTGTCGTCTTTATGAAGGGAGTTCCGGAACAACCCAAGTGCGGCTTCAGCAATGCAGTAGTGCAGATCTTGCGAATGCACGGTGTCACTTATGAAGCGCATGATGTTCTTCAGGACGAGGAGCTTAGACAAGGTGAGTTTAGATGTTTCGTATGAATTATATTATGTTATACAAGTTTATATAAAAATTGACATTAGAATCTTTCTGTAATACAGTCTTTTTTATCCATATACCGTTATTTGTAATGTATGTTTGGATGGTCCAGTGAAGGCGTGTTCTCCTTTTTAGGAATCAAGGAGTTTTCCAATTGGCCAACGATACCACAGGTGTTCATCGATGGAGACTTTGTTGGCGGTTGCGATATACTTCTTCAAATGCATCAAAATGGTGATTTAGTGAACGAGCTGAAGAAAGCTGGCATCAGCAGTGCCCTGCTGGAAAAAACGGAGGCATCTTCGGAGGCTGCTACCAAAAAGTCGACAAAGTGATTTAAGAGCGCATGTAAATATTTGATATATATGTTAATTTGTTCCTAGTCAAATTCTTTAAAGATAATGCCGTTAACTACGTATGTACAAATTTACATACCGTCAGCCACTGGTGTTACAACTTAACAAGCTCTTTTCTTAATATCTTCCCTGCGGCCGACTTTGGGATTTTGTTTGTAAATTGCACATCTCCTAACTGTTTGTATTTTCCTACGCGCTGAGCCACGTAATCTTTTATCTCGTCTTCCGTAACCTTGGCTCCTGCTTTGAGAACAACAAATGCTTTCGGAATCTCGCCATAGTTCTTATGCTCCACACCGATTACAGCAACGTCTTCTATTTTGTCATGGCCTCGCATAAGTTCCTCCAATTCAGCTGGAGCCACTTGTAAACCTTTTACCTTGATAAGTTCTTTGAGACGACCTTTAATGTACACCGAACCTACAGAAATTGTTGTATCAATACATTGAATCATATGTTCATCGTTAAGGAGACGAAAATTGACACTTTTAAAGGTGATCATCGTATTCATGAAAATCCAGAGTTACGTAGTTCCAATTATTAATTGACTGATCTTTGTACATAGCGTTAATCGATCTTTTAACTGAGATTCTCACCTTGACTATCATAGTATCCCAGGTCTCCTGTTTTAAACCAGTCCCCATCCATAATGTTTGCCGTTGCCTCGGGATTTTGAAAGTAACCTTTCATAATTTGGGGACCTCGCACCCATACTTCTCCAATCTCTTCAATTCCAAGATTGCGATTAAGATTGTCTTCCTCGACACCGACGACGCGTAACTGTGTATTAGATACAACAAATCCCACGGATTCGAAATTCCCCTTATTACTTAAAGTAATACAGGGCGAGGTTTCGGTCATGCCGTACCTGCAAAACTACTGCTGAAGATACTTTCTTTTAACTAATTGCCCGTTACTTATCAATCTTACCCTTGGCTAATCAGCATAGACTTATTTGCTCGGCTGCGAAATTTTTCGATGCATTCCCTCCCAATTGGAGCAGCTCCAGAGATAGTGTGTCTAACGGTCTCTAGGTGATTACTCTTTACCAAGTCGGTGTTCGCCAAAAATTGAATCAATGGCGGCGCTAAGTACAGCAAAGTAGCATGATGCTTGTCTAGAATGTCTATGAAACCGCTCGGCGAGAATTGCGGCAAGAGGATTAATTTCGCGCCAAGTCTAGATTGCAGGAAACGATATGTCAGGGGAATAATAATTTCTAATCTTTGGACAGGTCGTTACATAATTGCATACATTACCGCGTACCTGAGATGTTTAATCAAGCATTCCACTAGTCCGTAGATATGAAAAATGGGTAAAATCAGGGGAATAACGTCCTGAAACATCCCCGTGGCTTCTATTCCTACCTCCACGCCCTCGTGAGAGGTTTGGTAAACGTTTGCGGCGATATTCCTGGAAGGAAGACGACTCGTAAAATCAATTTTACCGGAATTCTCATTGCTGTAATGTGGTTTAAAATTACACATACTCCCTAGTACCTGTGTGAAAGTTCGACGCCTTTCGGCAACCCAGTAGTTCCACTGGAAAAGGGTAATATTGCGGTATCTTCGTAATTAGCCGGGGTGTTATCAACTTTCATGTACTCCTCGATGTCACCGTGAATCAGCTCCTTGAAGTATATGCAGTCGGACGACAGCGGGGTACTTCCATCGTCGACTACGATCGGTCGTAGTTTCATACTCGCCATATTGTCAATGGACGTCGCAACTGTAGGAAATTTAGTGGAACTCGTGACGACTGCCGATGCGTTAGATTTTTCCAAAACTGATCTCAGTTCTAGGGCAGTGAACGCCGGGTTTAGTGGAGTTATCTAAAGGAATGTATTAAACGATTAATTTGAAATGCAATTTTTATTCCCGTCCCGGGGAACTTTGGCCACCGTTTGGTCAATGGGAGGGGACGGATACTCACGCAAAGGCCGGCTTTGCTCGCCGCGAAAATGGCGATGACCATTTCCGGGATGTTGGGCATCACGAGGGCGATAGTCGAGCCCGGGTGAAGCTCGAGTTTGCGAAAAGATGAGGCCAATCTACTGCTGTATTTGCGCAATTGGCTGTACGTGTAAGACCTCCCCGTGGCGGCGCACACCTGCGAACAGGGGACGGTCCGAGTTTAACCCTTTCATTACCCGTCGGCGTCTATAGGCGCTTTGGAAATTAGCTTGTAATAATACACTCCCGGCGCTTATAGGCGCTCGGTAATTGTTATCAACGACCTAGCAACTGGATGATAACGAACAAAAAAGAGTACGTCCCGAGGACAAGTTTGACCGTTCAGGGCGTTGATCGTGGGTCAAGGTCTACCGTCTGTCAGGCGGGCTATGTGTCTAAATCTACCGGGGCTAAAGTATCCTTCTCTACAACGCTCATTTTTCTCTACCAACAGGGAGGCTAAAGGGAGGAGGAAAAGTAACGAGATAAGTCATATAGAAGAAACCCGAAGTTTGACGGCAAATTGGCGTACCATCGCAACTTTCTCCGGCCATTTGTCGAGGTTCTCCCAGACGAGCTCATGGATCAGCCTCTCTTCGAAACCTTCTACGTCGGAGAAGCCGCTGCTGACGACGTTGTCCTCGCTGAGCCTCAGCAGGCTGGAGGCGAATCTGCGGAACTCCCGGGTGACGTCGCATCTGGCGTTTCTCAGCGAATACGGCGGAGTGATTACGGAGCAGAAGCGCCGAATCGGAGGAACTTGGACGGCCCTGTAGCGAGAAGAAATCCGGCCGAAGCAGACGCGCGACATGTCGTTGGTAGTGTTTACTTCCTATCACTCGGAACCTCGAAAACCGGTGGGGCGTCACGTCAGATGATAACCGCGGATATGGGAACTCGTCGGACAACGAGCCGCGAAACTGCGAGCTGCGTAGCCGGGCCGACTCTGTATGTACGTACCGCCACTCGGTGACGGATCTGTCGGATCTGTTGCTATCGAAATCCACTACCGGCGGGTCGGTAAAAGTAGGGATCGCCCGCAACGCTCAGACACCGCCGGGATTCGAGCCGGAGGTGCGACCTTCACGGCCGCACAGCTGACGGTACTGAGCGCGTCTACCTTCGAAATTCGCGAGGTCGATTAATCGGCCTTATTATGATCTAACGATAGCAGATATCGCTCATACTCTGTTAAGTCACGAGCCCTTGGAATGTATGCTGAATTGTACTCTGGCTTATGCGTGCACGCCCCACCGTACGCGTTCTCTGGCGGGGAACAAAAGAGGCACCTCCACCCGGGGGAGTTGCCTAACTTTCCGACACGGGTAACTGCTTTACCGGTGACGGACGCCGCCCTGAATGCGCTTTATGATAGCTTATCGACTACGTTAACGGCCAAGTTCAATGCGTTTTAAATTAGGCAATCGGCCTCCGACGACCTACATGACTTCCGGATCGATCGTCGATGCCGCTCCTGCGACGCCGTACCGCGGTTATTTATATTTCCTTCTTCTTTTGTCCCTGGAGAGATGAGATATCGGACGCCGTGATTATCACGAATTCGGGGCGATATTGCCCGGAAATGCTGCGCTTTATTGGACGTGTTATCCGCGAGGATTGCGCGGACGTGACGATCGCGGGCACTGCATTCGGGCTTATCGCGAGATCGAGTTATCTCATCGCGGCGTTATCGAGAGGGATCGGAGTACCCTGGAGATGAATTTTAAACTTCTGGTCGCGACGCAGGGACGGATTTTTGCCGCGAATTGCGGACTGGGGAAATATAAATAATCGATCTGAATAATCGGAACATTTTTTACCGAGGTCTCACTGAATGGTTATGGTGGAGTTGCAGCAGTGCGTGCGCTATTCTGGACCCAGGAATACCTAGGTGGGAATTGTAATGAAAAAAAAGCGGGGGAGGAGAGGAAAAAAGAATAAACGAAACGGACGAAGGTCGAGTGGCATATTAGTGCAACACGGTGGCACGCGATTTCGCGATTTTTACCCGCGTATGGACGTGGCACGACTCGACGACGCCTTTTCCACCTGCACGGCATTTCGCGTTTTTTTTTTCCTCTCCCCCCCCTCTTCATGCTAGGTACCCGCGCTGGTACCTTGGAAGAACGTTGCGCCACGTTGCTTGGAATCTCGTGCACTGGGATTATTTTTAACGCATTGCGGATAGGGAAACTCGACTCGCGCCTTCACTCTCGCCAGGGGGGAAAATGTCATTACCGCAGTCGAGGATTTACTGCCCGATACAACCGGGACCGAAACGTAACGGGGGTAATTATGAAATACGCCACCCTCCGATTCTTCGCCGAGATCGGGCCTCGCACTTGGCAATCACTTCCGCGACCTCGTTAGCACCCTTAAGGGGGTAGGTTTAACGTAAGGACCTGAGCCCTTGACGGGGTAAATTACACGGTTACCACCAGGGTGGTCATCGACGGGCGCGGTTTTCCTTTAACGGGCGATGGAGGACCTTGAGGCTCGTTTTTACGGTTTTTCCTCAGGGCAGACTCTTTAAGTTTTCCGTATTATCCGGGAGAATCTCAATGGGCTCGCCGAGGTCCTCGACGTCCTCGGGAGAGGGAGCTTACTTTCTCAAAAGCCGAATTTCGAGCCCATTCGCAGAGGGCTCGACGTCGCGAATTTCCTCAAAAGCTTCTCTCGACGGGAGGCTCTGAATTTTCCTAAAGTCATAGAACCCATTAGAGTAAAAAATCAAAATTTCCACGATTTCGGAATTTGTTTATCTTTTTTAACAGCTATGGCTATTGCGAAAGAAATGCGAGAAAGAAAACTGAACATGACACAAACGTCTACATCACGGAAACGTTCCAATAAGCCCGTTAATGTTGTTTGTGCCTCAAACTGGATTCCAGGTTTACACAGCCGGGCTGTGTGGTTTGGTATTTACTTTGGAGCAGGACGCGGGCCAGGAATCAATCGAAGGGCATTGATCTGTCGGCTTATTTTAAAATCATTTTCTGGCACCCTTCCCGACACTCGGCGAAGACGCGTCCTCCACTCTAGACGAGGACACGAGCTATCGCTCGCTAGTTTACCTCCTTTCCTCGAGGACGATGCTTCTTATCCCGTTTTCAATTATATCTTCGTCGTTCACGCACGAAGGGGTATATCGCTCCATCCTAGGGTTTTCGAATTGCCTTCCGTTCTCAATTATTTACCCGGTTTCAGCGATCAAACGAAGCCATTTGGGTGGCTCTGAAAGGGTTAAACGCCGTCGAGATGGCGGCTGAAAAAAGCGGCTCGGTCGCCCCTCTACGCGCTATTCCCGATGCGTGGCTCGTAAATTCATTGGGAAATTCATCGGAAAATTCATCGAAAATCGGGAATAACGCCGCGCGGTAGTTACGCAACCGCGACCGACGGCTCCCCTAGGAAATCTCGAGAACCCGCTACACGTCGCGTCTCATGTGAATCCTCGCGACGTAGCGGAACTCCGTCCTAAGCGGCTGCAAGTTGTCCAGGAAAAAGGGGATGCGCACCCCTTCGAGGGGCTGCATGCGCCCGGCTCGGTGACAATGGCTCGCGATGGTCTCCGCGAAAGTGGCCATGTCGCCGACAATGGCGGCCCCGCAAATGCGGCCCGCAAAAACCCAGGAAGGGAGACAAAGTATTCCACCCCCGGCCCGTCCCGGCACTCCAAAAGCCTCCCTCGTTTGTCGGGAACGACCGACCTAACCTCTTTCCGGCGCCTCCTGGATCGTCGCGGGGCCGGGTACGTCCGGATTTCGAATCGACGGAAAACCTCGACGACCTACCCCAACGTTCGCGGGAACCATCGGGCGGCGGAGCCGCTAACCCGGGAGGAGACTTATCTCTCTCGACAGGACTCCGGGACCCACTAGGACCTCGTCTTTCCTCCTCTTCGGGCGACACTTTCGATTACCGACGTCCGATTCCGATACCCCTCTCACCCCGGATCGATAGACGCGCAACTAGACCAGCGGGTACATCTCTCGTCGTTCGGAGGCTGCATGCAATCGCATGCATTATGCACCCAAATCGCACTGGAATTCGACGACGCCGCCGATGATCAATTCCCCTCTCATATTAAATTAAAGCCCCGCATTTGCGGGGGATCGATCGGCCCGAGCAAAAAGTCGTCGCGGGATGTGTCCGGTTTGGGCGTCTCTTTTTCCACCCCCCGACCGTCCCTTAGTCGTTTTTAAACTCGGCCCTCGATTCCGGCTTGGACGTGGTAAACCTCGATACTCGAATCTATACGAAGTGGATCAGGACATGGGTCTATCGCGCGAGCGGATGAGCTACGTGGCATTATTGACACCGCCCTTGGTACGCTGGTGCACTCGTTTCCAGGTGTGTGGGGGAGACTCCACGCGTAAGTAGACGGATATCGCCGTCTTAGAACCGAGGCAGGTATCACCCCCTCGGGGAGGTACGAGGGGACAACTGGAGATGACGTGATAGCTGTCCGACCGGGGGAGCGAGCGATCCGTGACGCTTTTAACGCGCGTCAGGGCGGATGCAACGAAGTGCACTCAAAAGCCGAGACCCACCGAGAGAGGCGTGCACCCTCCGCGAGGAGGGCGACCCAAAGGGGACGCGCGTCCGGACAATTGCTCCGCGAGGATCGGTAGCGCAAAACGGAAACGCCCGATAACCGAGTTACGGGAAGTCCGCGGCGGGTAAAACCCGCGCACCCGTTAACGGACGTAATTTCCTGGATATTACACGTGCCGCGGCCCATTGGCGGATCGTACGGCGGGGTTTAACGCGGCCGTTTGGCCGTAGCGCTTTCCCACCGGAGTTCCTTACGCTTTATTTCACTCCCCTTCCGGTTTAACGGCGCGCGGTCCTCACCACGCGGCGCAATTCGCATCTTCCCGTGCTACTTAGTCACGGGAGAGGTCCCTATATCGGAGCCGGGGAGCGAGGACCAGATCCGGGTGTCCGGAGGGGGAGGGAAAGGACGCGCCGGAAGGTCCTCCGGAAGGAAGAGGGTCTCGCGGGTCTCGGTGACCCAGTGGGCCCGATTCTCGGGGAGAGACCGCGAGACTCGCGGAACCGGCATCGCCGCGGGGGTGGAAACGGGGTTGCCGGCGAGGTGGCGCCCTCCCGCGCGGGACGGCGCGTTCGATCGACCCTGGTTCCGTTCCGCGGGTCCTCCGTACGCAGGCCTAGGGGTCGGTCGGTCGGTCGGTCGGGGTGGTCGGCGCCGCGGGAGGCGGATTCGGCCCCGGTCGGCCCGGTCGGCCACAGTCGGCCACAGTCGCCCTCGGCCGCCGCGCGAGGAGCCACCAGGCGCGCCACCCCACGCGAAGCCAGTCGCGAGTCGGAACCGCCGCGCCCGATTGGTCCACCCGAGGCGCGATCCCGACCGGTCGGGACGGCCCAACGGAAAGGGACACCGGCCACCCCCCGCGCGCGAGTCGGGCGACCTAGTCGCGCGCCGCCCCGCGACGAGGCAGGAGCGCCGGCCGAGAGGACGGGACCACCTCGGCGACGCGCCCCGATCGAACCCTCCGGCCCGGGCCGCCCGAGGAACCGGCACCCGGAGGCTGGCGTCGGCCGAGCCGCCCCAGGAGGCCGCCACGGGGGAACTCTCTCGACCCTCGAAGGTAGACAGCGGGGGGGTGGGTGGGGGCCGGGGTCGACGCGGACCGTAAGTCGCTTGATCGCCGGGAGGGGGCGTAGCCGTGCCACCACGGCTTCCCCCGAGAGCACGTGACCGGAGATCGCTACCCCCTCCCTCCGTCGCTCTGGATCGCCAGCGGGACGCGATCTAACCTCCGAACGCCCCCCGCCTTCCCCTCTTCTCTCCGCGCCTCTTCCGCGAGCGAGCGAGCTCCGGCGGAATTCGGACGCGGAGTCGACCGCGTGTCCGATCCGCGCGGGGCTGGAATTCCGCCGACGGGCCCTCGCGACCTGGACGATTTTTATTTACCACGCGGATCTACTTGGGTTTCTCAGTGATGCCGCGCCGGAGTGCGGTGTACCTTCCCCGGAGTGCCGGGTAGCGCGGCTCTCCTTTAGGCTGCCCGGAATCCCGTTTGCGAGCCGCCGTCAAAGAGGTATGCCAATCCCTCGTTTGGAGCGAATACCCGCGGATGGAATTAGCCCCGTTCTCAATGGCTGGGGGTAGGTCGGCTGCGCTAAGGGGGTTGAAAAATGTGGAGTGAACTCGAAAGTTTCACGTGGAAATTGCGACCCACCTCGCCGGTCCGGAATTCCGTGGGTCGCGGTCGCCGTACTAATGCGGATTGAAAGCTCCCCGTCGAGGGCGCGCTCCGTGAAATCTGGGAAAAGTGCACAATGTCCTGACAATTTTTCTTCTTCTGTTTTTTTTTTTTTTTTAACCGTACCGAGAGTTCGCGGTCGTACCTTACCACCTCTCGACGTGCCTGTGTCATCGTTCCTATAACCTGGTGATCGCGAATCGAATCGAGGGGCCGATAAAGGCCCTGGCCAAATTAATGGTGCGAGGCCCATGGGGGTAGACAATGGCTCCCGTGACCTTATCGCTATAGAATGATCGTGTACGAGGGCGATGATTCAAAATCGGCCCCTGATGGTTTCTCATCGGAATATCGAAGGCTAGCCGAGTAAGCGTCGCCTCGAGCGAGCGTTTCCACCACGTGGGTCGGCGGGACTTATACCGGGTTTTAGTAAATCGGATCGAATCGGGAATTTCGCCGGTGCATTGGGAATCTGCGGGAAGAGACGAGGAATCTCGCGTAACACTGTACATTATCAAGGGATTGATAAGAGTCGAGGAATCGGAGAAACGTATCTCGGACGTCGCTCGATGGGGCCCTCGGTGGGAACCTCGAGACCTACGTTTAATTATTCCCGAGCTCGACGTATTGACTCCGGCTAATGTCAATCGCGGGTAAATCATTCCCTGACGTCAACGGAGAGGTCCTAGAAGACGGCTCAGGTGAACGTCCCCCGCCATCGACCATGTACCCGTAATTGGCAGACCTAGT